AATCCGTATGTGTGCGAGAGAGACGCACTTAGAGCCCTGCTGTGCTAATGAAACGTAGGCTTTAGGAGCATTACAGGGTGCGTCAACGATATCCTAAAATGCGAACAATTGCCGTGCACCGATCAACCTGCATCGTCACTCGAAAGCATCGTTCACGAACCCTGTACGAGTTTTTATTGACAAACTTGTCGTAGGGGGGCATCACTTATGCCAAGGTGTGCTGGACTATAGTTCCTGATAGGTTTTAACAATAGTTCTGCTACGTAATGCCATTAAAATACGTACTTTCCAAAAATTGAGGTGGCAGTCGTGGTCGATTTTTATTAACTAAAATACCATCAGGGCCACTGGGACGTTAATAAGGCTCGTAGCAGTCTCCTGAGCTTATCCCTACCCTTATCTGTCTTTTCCTTATCAATTATTATTGTTTCCATGATTTCACGTTAATACTTAACATTTATATAAAATACTTAGCGCAATACACTACACACAATTATTCTAGATGTACTTATACGCTGGTACATGGGTAAGCTTTGTGACGTGTTTTTCGATTCACGGTCACAAGGAGACTCCGGGTACCGATTCAGATAACGTTCTCGCTTTCTGGTTCCCTTCGAGTCACCACCCTACTGAGAAGCTATGCTCTCGGGTTGATTCGTATAGATATGCCAACGCTCTCGTAAGATTTCGTTATCGTTTAGTTGACGTCGAGATGCTCGAATCTGCCGTGGGGAGATGGTCTCGACGTAGCGAGTTACCCGGCAGACGACGCGCAGAAACTCAGAATGGTCCATAGAAGAGGCTGGCACAGTTAGAATTGCCATAGGGCCACGCAGAACTATTGTTAAAACCTATCAGGCACTATAGAACTCCTCGACAACTTTTGAAAAAGCCTATTGTTGAAACATTAATTTCGGCTTTTTAAATAGTTCTCAAGGAGTTCTATAGTTCCTGATAGGTTTTAACAATCCGTTTAGTTGACGTCGAGATGCTCGAATCTGCCGTGGGGAGATGGTCTCGACGTAGCGAGTTACCCGGCAGACGACAATACCCGACGGAGACGTCCCCACTGACCGGCAGAAGCTCGGGTGAGATGCCGGCGCCCCGTTGGAGATGGGCAAAGGGTAAAATATGTATTAAATATGCTGGTGGCATCATACGCTTCGGTGTAGGCAGGCATGAGTTGCTTGCTTTTGTCATATTAAACTTACCGAGCTTACACTGTGCGATCGAATTTAGGATTGCAAAGAGAAAAAGTATTTTCTTCAAGAACCCCTCGGCTTCGCCTCGGGAACCTCAACTTTATACGCGGCGCAGAAACGCTCTCGGTGCACAATATACTATAGGCTATATCCGATGAGCTGTCTCGTTCTACGTGTTGCTTTGGGAACCAGCGATAAGTAGCGAAGGACTCTGCCCGGCAAGCTATACGTTCGTGATCGCCGTTAGCTCGGCTACGCCGGGATCCGCATTGTCGACGGAGGCTATGATCACATAACTCTACTTCCGGACTCACTGCTGAGATTCACCGCCATTTTTTTGGTATCGCCTAGAACCGTAGCGTTGTGGATCTCCCTACTCATCTCTGGCTAAATTTTACAAAGCTGCCTCTCTTACTGTTATCTTTTTAGTGGCAGAGCGTGTTCCGGACGTGAAGTGCCCACCCGAGTGTTCTCTGGATACGGTTCTCGGCCTTCTCGGATTAGCTGCACCAGCTCCGGTGAGTACTCCCAATTTATTAATTATATAAGAAAAATGTCAAAAGTCAAAGTTAGGGCCACGTACAAGGAATCCCCGTTCTTGGATTCTGAAAATACGCGAAACTTCACCTTCGGCGGGCTGTATCGCGCAAACGGTTGGATCTACGGTTTTCTCGTTGAAATTTTTAAGGATCCCGTAGCGCAGAAACTCAGAATGGTCCATAGAAGAGGCTGGCACAGTTAGAATTGCCATAGGGCCACGCAGAACTATTGTTAAAACCTATCAGGCACTATAGAACTCCTCGACAACTTTTGAAAAAGCCTATTGTTGAAACATTAATTTCGGCTTTTTAAATAGTTCTCAAGGAGTTCTATAGTTCCTGATAGGTTTTAACAATCGTTCTGCTACGCAACATCGTTAAAATATGTATTAAATATGCTGGTGGCATCATACGCTTCGGTGTAGGCAGGCATGAGTTGCTTGCTTTTGTCATATTAAACTTACCGAGCTTACACTGTGCGATCGAATTTAGGATTGCAAAGAAAAAAAGTATTTTCTTCAAGAACGCCTCGGCTTCGCCTCGGGAACCTCAACTTTATACGCGGTGCAGAAACGCTCTCGGTGCACAATATACTACAGGCTATATCCGATGAGCTGTCTCGTTCTGTGTTGCTTTGTGAACCAGCGATAAGTAGCGAAGGACTCTGCCCGGCAAGCTATACGTTCGTGATCGCCGTTAGCTCGGCTACGCCGGGATCCGCATTGTCGACGGAGGCTATGATCACATAACTCTACTTCCGGACTCAGTGCTGAGATTCAGCGCCATGTTTTTGGTATGGCCTAAAACCGGAGCGTTGTGCATCTCCCCACTCATCTCTGGTTTAACTCATCAATATGGTTTGTGATTCGGTGTTGATCGGTGTTCGATTATCATGGCTGTCAGCAAACCTCGATTGTCGGGGATATTAAAAAACTGTCTTGAAACAATGTGAAAGACGCAACCAAACACCTTGGCCGTAAGTGAAATTGTACTTTTGGGAATGGAATATCCTACACTTTGTTCTTTTCTAGAGCCAATGGCTGTTAAAATAAATAATCGAGTTCCTGTGTTTTGTTTATGCTTGCCAACACTCACCAACTTGGAATCTATTTTTGTGTGTAGCTCCAGTGTCATAAGTCTTTCTCTGCTGTTCTTATACATCCTATGCAATTATTTCCATTAATGAAATGTATTTCTTTTTAAACTATAAATTCTAGTGCTTCATCTATCTCATAATCAGGCCCAATTCACAAGCATTTCTGGTCTTACTCCGATCACTGTTTACCATATTATTTATAGAGTATGGTGACCTATCTCTTTTTGAACATAACATTATAATAGTTTATGTTAAGGCTTAAAGTTATACTTTATTTACATTCAGGTACAAGGCCCTTTTCCACCCATCATGAGAGTTTTCTGTTTACTCTGGATTTTCATACAAACATCAGGCATTATTGGAAACCACCCTTGTCCACAGCAATGTTCCTGCAAAAGAATAGGTGCTCAAGCCGAATGGTTAAAAGTCAAGTGCGAGGATCATATACAAGAAATAAGAGAATTTGATTTTAATGACATTAGTGTTGCATTGATCCAATTGTAAGTTTACATCATTGAATCAATTCACTGAAACGTCAGAATACATATTTATGCTTCCTATCAACCTTTCAGAGACCTGAGTAAAAATGATATCTATGCCATTGAATCTGATGTTTTACAAAACTTAACAAACCTCAGACGTTTGGACTTATCCTCTAATAAAATTACTACTTTAGATGAGGGGTCCTTTCGTGGTCTAGAAAGCTTGGAGAGATTGTAAGCACTCATTTTACTTTATTATTAAGAATATTCATTTCTATATATTTCAATACTTTTTTCAGAGATCTTAGTGATAATCAGATTTCTACAATTGATACTCATACGTTCAAAAAATTGCAGAATCTCAAGAGACTGTAAGTGAACCAAGATTATTGTTCTTATACTATATACATATTTTACTCATATGCTTTCTGCTTTTTTGCCAGTGATTTGTCAGGCAACAAAATAAGCGCAGTGGAACCATCTTTATTTCATAATTTGCTGGCCTTAGAGCGCTTGTAAGTTCATTTTTTTCATTTGCCAATTTATATATTTATTTATATCATTCAACCTAATGTTTGGTGTACGTATTTTTATATCTTGCGTATACATTCCACGAAAGAGAAGTGTTAGTTCTATTTGATAAATACAAGTCGTGTCTTATAGGAAATTAAATGGGAATAGCTTAAAAACATTGAAGGAAGGTACATTTCATGGAGTGAAGTCTCTGAAGCAGCTGTGAGTAAAATTAAAAGGAAACTAGGTGTTTGAACTTGATTTTTATAAGTTAATAATAATTATTATCACAGAGATCTCTCAAACAATCCCTGGGAATGTAACTGTAATCTCTACTGGTTCAGCAACTGGATCCACAATACTTCTATTAAATTAAAGTAAGATTATTGGCTCATTTGATCATAATTCGAACAGTTATTCAATTGCCATCTTATCATGAAAACTTCTCTCTGCCAATCAGTCCTCCACCAAAATGTGCCTCACCGCCAAGTCTCAGGAATCAGCCAATGAAAAAGCTCCGTCTGTCGGAAGAGCTGCAATGTCAGTTGAGCTCTCCTGCCATCGAAATACGACCAGGTCACAACCAGGTCGTTTTCGCTGGAGATTCTATTACGCTCAAATGTCGAGCACCCAGTATTACGGAAGACAAAAATGCACGACTCAGTTGGCTATGGAATCCTAACATAACGAACGAAGTTCTCGAACAAGACGCGTATACTGATCCCAGGAATACCTTGTCCAACATAAAAGTAGAGAATAGACATTTGGCCGACAGTGGCATCGTAGACAGGTACTAATTAGTTCCTTAGTTACATAAGAATAAGAAACAATTTTCTAAAAGTCATCGCCTAGTTGATTGTCGCAATTTTTACAGTTCTCTAAGCATTGTTCCTCTAACAGAAGAACATAACGGACAGTGGAACTGTCAGCTGGTGTCTGTTTATGGAAACAAATCAAAAGCCATCAGCGTAATTGTTATATCAGACGAGACTCGTTACTGTCCATTAGCAGTGACCAGAAATAATAAAGGCATGTACGCATGGCCGAGAACAGTTGTTGGTTGGAAAGTAGAATTGCCATGCGAAGGCAGCAGATTATCTGGCTTAATGCAATTTCCTTTAAGAGCCTCGTACCGATGCAACGCAACTGGAAACTGGGAGGATCTGAACACTGAACCCTGTCCGTATATCTCGCACACGACCAAAGTCCTTGAGCAATTTTCCAAAGTGAATTTATCCTTGACTAAAGGAAATTTACTCGAAACTGCTAAAAGGTTTAAAAACTATACTGGCGACGGAGCTAAACTCACTGATCCAATCGAAATCAATTTTATAATACAGACTGTGGAAAACTATCTGCACTTTTTGATCGAGGAAAAGGAATTGGGTATCATGCTGATTGACATTGTCAGTGCTATTATGAATCTCCCTAAAGACATGCTCAAGTTGGCCGAGAATTATTATAAATCTTGCACGAGATTGATTAAGGCTGTAGAAACAATTACAGAATTCACACCTTCGATTCAGATTCATAAAAACAATATGGCCCTTGAAGAGTTTCGTGTAAAACGTGAAAACTTCATGGGGCTAACATGTACCTGGTATAGCAATGCTGCAGCTGCCGGTAATGCAGCAGACACGAAACTCCTGCATTGCGCAACCAGCAATAAGACAGCTCTGATAAACACTAAAGACAAAGTGATTGAAGCATCCATTCAGCTGCCAGCATCATTGTTGAAGCAGTTGGACGGTGTCATGGTGGCTCACCAGTTGATGATTTCTATGTACAGCGACAATAGGCTCTTCCCAAAAATTTTGAGCGATGACAAAATGGATATCGCTTCTTGCGTCATTGGCAGTAAATTAAGTTAGTAATTTTTAACAGGATTCTAATTGATTTTCTTTAAATATTTATTCACTTACTTTTAGTCGGCGTGGATGTAGAAAATCTATCTGAGCCAGTCTACGTAATGCTAAAAGCACCACTCTATCATTATGCTGGTAGTAAACTAAAACCTGTGGTTTGGGATACTAAGTTCAATGAATCTGGTGGATGGACCAGTGACGGATGTCAGTTATCAAATTTAGTCAACAATTTGATAGTCTTTCACTGCAATAGATTGGGCTATTACGGCCTACTCCAAGATACTTCTTATCTCAACGAAGAAGGTGGCAGGTAGATTCAGTTTTGACATATTAATCATTGCGATACAAATGATAATAGTTATAAGCTAAATAATATTCAACTAATTTCAGTCTGACTGGAGCTACATTTAAATACTCCCATCCAGCAGTATACGTTGGCAGTTTCGTAGCTATAGTCTGTCTCACGTTTACTTCTGTAACGTATATGATTTGCTACGCTTCGATAATAATGCCAAAGAAAGTGAAGCATTGCATAGTGAACACTTGGATCGCCATAGCTCTTCTGTGCTTTCTCTACACTGCTGGAATCCACCAGACAGAAAATGTGCAAATTTGCCAGGGCGTTGGTTTGGTCCTGCACTATTTGTCACTTTGTTGTCTACTGTGGATGGCTATGTCTGCCAGGTAAGATTTTTGAGAATTTCTAGTTATCGCCATTCAAAGGTTCCTTACTAAACTGATTTTATAGCAACATGTACAAACGTTTGTCGAAATCCGACGCGGATGTCGTCCCGGATGACGAGCTGCCTGATCAACCTATTCAAAAACCATTACTAGGACTGTATATGGTTGGATGGGGTATAGCACTGATAATTTGTGGAATATCCGGTGCCATTAATCTTCGAGAATACGCCAGTTACTCTCACTGCTTTCTCACGTCCGGTCCAGCTCTTGCGGCCTTGTTTATTCCTGGAGCAATTCTCATCGTGTACCTAACGATTTTTCATCTGCTGATCAGATGCGCCATCAGGAACGTCGATCTGAATGCTCAGCTGTCCGAGGGCACTCAGGCTACGGAAAACATGGATCTAGAGTTGCTGGAACCTAATGCCAATCCAAATATGGATAGAAACAGTGTACACAGCGCGCAAACAGTCTCTTCCGAAGTGGAGGACCTGGAGCATTCTCAAATAGCACAACTCAAGGGTCAAATTATTATTTTAATTCTCTACCTTATGACATGGACGTCAGGGGCGTCGGCTACTGCAAAGCCTTTGAGTCCCTACGTTCCTTACGAAGAAAGCGTCTTCGCTATCCTCTACGCCATCTCGGCAAGTAGTTTAGGAATGTTTGTCCTACTGTTTTACGGAATGGCACGAAAAGACGTTGGATCGCAATGGCTCAGAATGCGTTGCTGGTTCAAGAAGAAGAAGAATAGATGTTGCAGGACAAGAAGCGTGTCCGACACGAGTCCAGCGATACCAGCACAACCTTTAGTACAAAACTTGGCGCCATTGTCAAATTCTCAAGCCACCCAAGTAATCTCAGATACTAATTCCATTGGATCCTCAGCCCGCACAAGTAAGTCCCAGAATTGCAACAGCTTAAAAGGGGCCGATTTGAATTCTTCTGAGGGTCCACCAGGTGCTAAGATTGCAAACGTCAACCTTGTGGTGTTACATCGACAACAATACAGATCAAACAACTCAGTAACAACCTACACCGAGCCCACTCCAGCCTGCGTGGAGATGTTTTACAACCCGCACCAGAGTGGCGTCGCTAGAAAGTTCTTTAAGAAGCAACGACGTCATACGAAGAACAACACCCTGGGTCCCAGGAAACAAGGCGATGGCGGTGCCACGAGCGATGGAGGTAGTTGCATTTCCATTCCGCGTCCAAATAAAACCGAGACGGACATAGAGAGGAGCATCTTCAGCAGCAGTGCCAAGGTGAACAACACGAACATACACGTCGAAGTAAATCTTGTCAACGACAGCAAGAACGTGAACATCCTCTCGGATAGCGGAGGCAGCGTCTCCGAGGAACGTAATGTCGCCAAGCGCTTCGTCATTGGCCAAGAGAATATAACGCGAAGCACTAAGAAAGTTAACAACGATCGTCTTCTCACCCAGGAGTCAGAGGAACATCTAGCAACTTTTCCAAGAGACATGGCACGACGGAAGCTCTATCATCGTCATCATCTTCAATACAAACATGATAACAACACTCTAAACGAATCCGATGCGGAAGCGGAATTAGTAGTGGATCCTGACCTAAACGCAGATCCGGGTACTAAGGCCGAAGAAGAGAAACACTTAAGGAATGTCTCGCAGCAGTGCAGTCTGGAGTACAGTTCCGAGATGGAGTCCACGCAGATGACGAGCGAGAGGAGCGACCACAATTTACCAGAAATTGGGGAAACTCCAGAGAGAACCGAAGAGAATGATCGATGCTCCAGTGCGAATGAGATGAGCGACCTGGATGAGCAGAAGTCAAAACGTTCCTTCGAAAGACTCAATCATTCGAACAGTCTCTATTGTCTACCTATAGATCATCTGATCCCGGTACGAAATTATCGTAGATCCCTAAACGATGTGAGCTCGCTAACGAGCTCAAAAAATTGCGAATATTCGCGACCCTCTCTGACGGATCTGCAAAGTGTCGCCAGTTCAAATATCTACGACCGGGTGCGAGGCTCCAGGAAAACAATTGACAGATCGCAGCAGAGTCTGATCGACATAAACAGCTTGACGAGTGACAATACTTATGCGATGTTGCAAGAACGTCCAAATTATTCTAATTCCTTACTGGACGTCGATAGTGCTTCCGGTTCATGTGCGAACGAGCAAGTTGAATTTCAACCTGTCTTAAACAATGATTTGAAAATCAACGACGTGGAAGAGCGTCCCGACGCTTCGTCTGCGAATGGATTGTCATCATTAAATTTCCTCGACAAAGATTTCGATTCTTTGACCGATCTCGCCACCGTGGAAGATTCCCTAAATATAGTCAGACAGCATTTAGATATAAATGGCGACATGGGGATGGAGTTCGAGGAGAAAAGATTCACTAGGAAGCAGATGAGCTGCGCAGATGAGAACGTCGAGGTGCTGAAGCACGAAGACGAATATCAGAATGATAATTCTGTGCCGAAGAACGTCAAGAAAGAGACGAGCGTTTGAAACGATCTCGATATACATATATATATATATATATTTATTCTCATTATAAATATAGATTATTATCCATAGAAACTTCCAGTGATGTGCCAACCGAGATGACTGGTCTTGTCATCTCCGAAAATTCCTAAGAGACAATGAATTTCATCACGAATTTTTCTTAGTCAGAATGCATAATATCTCAATATTTTAAACAGTCTCGATTCGATCAATTTACATGTCACGTTATATTTATTTTATATTGCGCTCAATCTGTAAATAGTATACAAGATCATTCAGTAATTCATCACTATTATCAAAGACTGTATCATATACTCTGTCATAATTTTTAGCTCCAATGGAATTGAACGAATCTCTTTCATTGCCCTTTGACATACGTATACGCCACTCTAGCGTAATTTACGCATCCAGGGTATATTTTGTCGCGATGAACAAAACAGAAAGAGTGTAAGAACATTAATTAGAACATAGAGCGATTCCCATTTGATTAACGTGTGAAGCTACGAATCATTTAATTTGTATGTCTCTGTATAGATATACATGTGTAATTATTATTTTTTAAAGAATAATTTTCATCCCTCCTTTCGTTGAAGACTGATTCTTTAATTTTAATGATACGACTAAGCGCAAATGCAAACTATGCGATTTACTCGCAACGTAGACACGGCCTAATAGTTTCTATGCGACAAGAAGTAATGTTAATTTGCATAAAACTCCAATAGATAGAAATACAAGAATACTCGATTGTACGTTACTGCTTACAAGAACACATATCCCTGCTGCTGCTGATAGACAACTATATGTCTATCAGCATACCACCTCACTGTAAATAATTTATACTTTTCAAATAAATGAATTTACGTTGATTACATTCTGAAGGAAACTCGTGATTGCTACTGTACTATTGCATAGGATACTATAAATACAATACTCCATTTTGATTTTGGTCACCGTATATCTATTTTTTTTAAATATAAATAGTAATCGAAATTATTGTACTTGTTACCCAGTTTAGACAAACAATCAATCATAAGAACAAGAAAAGACTGTCCACGTGATGACTGCATTACTAGTACAAGAAATCACAAAAGTTCTCGGACAAATCGTTCCAAGTTATTTCGTATTGTGTACACAATAGCACACAAAGGGAAGACTTAACAAATACGACGATAATATCTCCTGAGAATAATTTTACTGGAATTCCTTAATAGTTATATAATTGACAATTACACATATTTTCATTAATGCAGGTAGAACCCTGGCGAGAGTCAGTGCTCTCAGATAACCTAACAGAGACTGAGGGATCTTGTACATACAGTCATTTAGTCCTTATCGGATGAACAACAATCTGAGAATATAAGAAATAGTCGAAATCGTTCTACGATAACAGCAGAGTCTGATTTTAATGTTGGTCAAGACAATTATCTTAAAATAATAAGTACGTTATTAGAAATCATAAAGGAGATGATGCACAACCAGACAATTCTAATAAAAGTTTGAACCAACGCTAGTAGTAGCCAGTGCCATCGTGGACCAAACGACAATAATAACTAATCAATTACTATTGAACAAGATAAATTACAGTGAATAATAATAGAATAGAAGCACAAGTGAATTATCATAGAGCGTAGTTGGCAATGAGCCAAAGTCTGTATTTCTCCTATAAACGACACAGAACTTAATTACAAATTACGTAGTATCAGAAATATAAAATGAGATCAATAATTTCTTTCTTCTTCACGTCTTTTTTTATCGTTACATTAATCTTTGTTGTCCAGCTTATCATTCTTTCCACTAATGATACTAGGCCAATCAGGCCAATCGACTTATACAAAAGTGGAACTTGTACTCGATTCACGAGTTCAATATTTTTTCTTACATCGAAAACAATGGTTTAAAAATTCGTATTCCAAACTGTACACATGCATGGTTCAACAGTGAAATATATTTTACTCTTCTATTTTTATGCATGTATCGTGATTTTATGAAAAAGCACGTATGATTTGCTAAGGATTGTATTGTTAGTGAACTCTAAAAAAAAACATTGAACGGGTGGACAAACCACAAATATACCTCGGTTTTTTATTGGATACCCTAGCTCAAATCTGGATCTAAGAGGCTAAGAAAAACTTTTCTTGTAAAATTGTGTTCACTAAGAAATGTATTCTTAACACTCAGAATATACTCAATTTTTCGTTCGTTACCTCGAGTCATTCTTCTTTAATAGATTCTTCTGTTAATAAATTAAAAGGTCTCGCTTGCCACTACAGCCTATGTAACATTCTTTAAATTAAAAACAGTTAGCGTAGGTTTCAATAAAAAAAAAATAAATAAAAGCGTTAATATAAAATCCGCCAAACTCAACATATCGGTATCACACCAACGCCTACGCCGCCCTCGTGCGCGCACATCGAGGCAGCGAAGGACCAAGAATCTGCTTCTGGATCATAAACTTCAACAGTTGAGAGATTAGAGACGCCATCGTAACCGCCAATTGCCCATAGTTTTCCCATATTAGCCACCAAAGCGGCACGACTTCGCATTACGTTCATTGGCGCCACATAGTTCCACCTAAATAAGAAATACTATATGTAATATCTTCAGATTTTAATATCAAGGAATCGGATGTTGATTAGCAGTGAAAAAACACGCTCAAAATAAATAAAACAAATAGAAGAATATTTTGTTAGTAACATTCTGCAGCATCCGGACAGCAAAGTTCCTTACCGGAATTTGTGCGCTGTCTTCAGTAAATAGCATAACCAGCAAAGCGTAGATACTTTTGAGCGTTAAGTCCAAGCCAATATTAACGGCGAAGATCAAAAATGCACTGAATTGATATAGCAAAAGGAATGATTCATTGATATTGCGTAATTATGGAATTTCGTTACTCCGAAAACCAATTAGTGGCCTGTGTCTTCAGAGTGTGAAGAAGCAAATACTAATTTCGTTAAAAATATATATACTCACTTGTCAGAAACTGGATCATAGACTTCGACGGATTGTAAAAAAGTTGATCCGTCGTAGCCACCGCAGACGTAGAGTTTTCCATTAAGCGTCGCGACGCCTAATCTGCACCTTCTGGTCAACATGGACTTCACAGATGTCCAGACGCCTATTTTGGGATCATACCTCTCCACCTGAAGTAGCAAATAAAAATAATTAAATCATAAAAAAAGTTAATGAGAATATTAAAAATATGTTATTTACCGAATCGAATATAGAGAGGCCGTCATGTCCGCCAAGAGCGTAAATGCATCCTTGGAAAGCGACGACTCCGCCAGCTGAGCGATATTTATTCATTGGACTTATCATCCTCCATTTATCTTTCTCTGGACAATATCTTTCAACTGTGTTTAACGATGATATACCATCATAACCACCACATACATATAAATAGTTATTTAAAGCCGCTGTACCTACGGCACTGTTGGAAATTTTCAAAAGATTAGATTACAGAAGATTCTTTTTGCGTATATATGCATTACATTAGGAGAAAATAAAGACCTTCGTTTACAGTGCATTGGGGCTATAATTTTCCAACTCTTTACAGCTGGATCGTATACCTCGACAGTAGCCAGCCTTTCGAGGCCATTGTAGCCACCAAATGCATATAATTTATTTTTATGTACAGCTACACCTACTCTACTTCTTAACATCATCATGGCTTCAGAGGTCTGCCATTTTTCTGTGGAGACACACATTGACGTGATTATAAACATATGGCTTTTATCAAGAGTCAAACAAGTCTAATACTTACCAATGAAAGGATCGTACACTTCAACTGTACTCAATGAATCACCATACTTGGTAAGTCCACCGACTGCAAAAATATGTCCCATCATATAATTGCAGCACCTTGGACGTGATCGAAATGTTTGTACCAAATGACGCCTTTCTGGCATTAAATGATAATCTCGCGCTTCATCTAATAAATCCCTAAAATAATAAATGATTTAATGATGTCAATTTCTTACAAAAGTAGGGAAAAACAATCGTGTAAGTACCTGCATTGATGAGAACTTCTGATAAGTTCCTCTTTTGCTATATGGTCAGCTAGATAATGAGGTGTGAGTAGAGGCAATCTGACAAGAGATAATAATTCTGGTAAATAAATGACTCTGCTTTCACTGTCATACTTAATCCATCTCATAACAGCTTCAAAAACTTTCTCTTCTGAAACAACATGTAGCTCGTCCCTGGAAACCAGCTCCTTAAGCTCCAAATATGTCAGACTGAAAAACTCATCAGCCAATGCCACTTCATGAAAATACTGTTGAATATATTTGTCTGCGTCTACCATGAGTGGAGCACAGCTTAAAGTATCAGCAAACCGTCGAATGCCCAAAGCATTTTGAGGATGAAATCTCCTCTTTAAAAAATCTGCGCAAGCATCTTTAACTTTGAGAAGTTGAAAAAATGCAGCACCTACCATAATACTCTGTACATTATTGTTGGTTAATGTGATGCGACCACTATATGCAAAATTGATGAGCGCCTCTGCTGCACTACAATGTAAAGAAAAATATCCCTTAGTCATTAGAGTGAAGAACCTCTTGGACCTTGGCCAAAGTTGACATTGACTTACATGGCGTCGATCCCTTGCAAAGTGATATCTTTTTGTTTGCTCTCCATCATATTATTAAGGAACATTGCTTTAAAGTAGGGAATCATTACGGCAAGGACTATCCTGTGGGCACTGAAGCTCTGATCATCCACCTAAACATTATCAAGAAATATAGCAAGAAAAATTGATACTACAAACAACTTTTTAAAAAATTGTAAATAAATAAGAGGCTACGGATGTGACATTTACCTTAAGCGTGACATCACAAAGCTTTCCTTGTCTGCGAATTTCTTCAAACCTAGAGAATCCCAGGGAGAAGAGATCCACCTGCTGAAATATCTGTTTTTCTTCATCTATCTCCGTGATACGGCCGGTTGGTGCTTCAGTCTTCTGTTTATCTTGGGCAAAGGCGTCCATTTTCATTCTAGAACGACGCGACGGCGCAGCTAGACTCCCGTGATGACCGATGCCTCTACGAAATGTAATTCGCGACTCCACTTGATGCTGTTGATGATTGTTGAATCGTCGCAAAGTTGGACGCAGTTCTTCTCGGATTCTCACATCGTTTCGTTCGTTACGGCGTAACATTCTCCCAGGCACTCGCATCTGAATCCTCGACTAAATTTACCCTCGAAGTTTTCCGCTTCCTACACGTTTTCGGGCTTCGCCTTCTTGAAAACCAGAAAGAACTTCTATTCTCTGTTCGAATAACTCTAAACTGAGAGCGACTCGTGATTTCGGTGTTTACCTCGCATGGCATTCGTAAAGCCAACTGACGCTGCGAGGTCGACGAGAATAAAGTCAGGAATAAGCCCTTTTTTTCCTCTAATCCTCGATGAGATTCTAAATCAAAACAACCTGATGTATAATAATAGCTACTCCTTATACACTGCCTCTCTTTGTGCCGAATAAGGCGACAATTTTATGTAGAACGACATCGTTTCCCAAGGGTGCCTTTCCCTTTGGAGCGTCCCTTTTCAAATTCACTTTGTAAAAAAACTCAGTGTCCTTCTGCTTATACCGTTGCCGACCAAATGAATCACAGCGAGCCAACGAACTCCTTTTAAACTCGGCTTTTTCTTTGTGTCTAAACTTGGATGCGCGCGCGCGCACGCATCTGCCCTAAGAAGACACGCTGCGCCGATTGCCGATTGCGATCTTCTACATCGCGCAGAATTTACCAGTCTTCTTCAGGAATTAACTGTGAGCTGATTAACAACGTAAAACTATGACTCTACTCGAGATGTAGGGAAAGTCAGATTTACGAAACTCGCATTATTTTCTATTTTCGTTGGATGGCTTTGTTCGACGCTGCCCCATTAACTCGATTCTCCGCAACTAAATAACATTCTGTCTACTTGTAAATCGAGAGTATGCAGTATAAATAAAAGCTGAAAATACACGGAGATTTTGCATAGCTTCCGCTGTACTCTTGAACGGGACATACGTTTATTCGGGCAACAGTATTTGAAACGGCGCCTTGACACCTTATGTCAACCGAGTACGTTATTTTAAGAAGCGTCACTCCTTCCTGCTTAGAATTTCAAAGAGTAGGATCTTGCGTGGGAGCCTCATATTAGAAATTGGAACGGAATAGGTACATAGAATTTTCCTCATGAAAGTGAATCGAAATTCGGATAATAGATTGCGATAAGTTAATGTAGATTAGCTCGCACGCGACATCCGTGATGAGAGACAAGGCACCGCAGACGACAACCGTTGCTCCAGGAAAATCGGTAAAAACACCAGGAGGAAATACAGCTCGGTCACCTAATGTAGACATCACGTTTCTACGTGGAAAGGTTCAATGTCCAGAAGTAAACGCGCAAAATTGCAGATCATATCTTTCTATCATACATTCAGATTTTCGTAACGTACAGTTATTTGCTGAAGAATCATAACTTGGTTCTAGCTGCTTTCTTAGTTCTGCAATATTAGGTAACTGTTGTAAAAGTCTAGTATATTGTTTATTATAGATCTATTGATGGTAAACTGTAGATCGTGTGATGAAATTTCTCGTAACTGAATATTAATATTCTTAAATTGATTTTTTGGTTATAGGACATTAACAATAAACGAATTCTTGCTCTAAAATGGCACAGAGACGAAGTGTTTATGTTGTGGGTGTTGGAATGACAAAATTTGAAAAGCCAGGAAGGCGGGATGATTTTGATTATCCTGTTATGGCTAAAGAGGCGGTTACCAAGGCACTACAGGATGCACGCATTTCTTATGATGAAGTGAAGGCAGCATGCGTTGGCTATGTTTACGGAGATTCTACTTGTGGTCAGCGAGCATTGTATGAAATTGGACTTACGGGTTGTCCAGTGTACAATGTCAATAACAACTGTTCAACTGGGTCCACTGCTCTGTTGATGGCTAAACAACTTGTTGAGGGTGGATCAGCTGATTGTGTTTTGGCACTTGGCTTTGAGAAAATGGAACGTGGTTCTCTGGCACCTAAATTCATGGATAGAACGAACCCTATGGATAAGCATGTAGAACTTATGGCAGATATTGCTGGTGAGCAGATACATTGAAACAGTATGAGACCCTATGCTAGGAACCTCTAGTTACAAAATTATGTATATGATTTTTAGGTATCAACGAAAGCCCTATTACTGCTCAACTATTTGGTAATGCTGGAATTGAACATATGAAAAAGTATGGCACGAAACCTGAACATTTTGCTAAAATTGCATACAAAAATCACTTACATTCCGTCAACAATCCTTACTCCCAATTCCAAGAGAAATATACTCTGGAGCAAATTCTTAAATCTCCTACAGTATTTGGACCACTCACAAAATTACAATGCTGTCCCACTTCTGATGGTGCTGCTGCAGTGATAGTAGTGAATGAAGAATTTGTACGAAAGCATCATTTAGAATCGCAAGCTGTGGAAATTGTTGCAATGGAAATGGCTACCGATCTCCCATCAACATTTTCTGAACGAAGCACTATAAAACTCGTTGGGTGAGTACATCAATCTCTTTTTATAAAAAAAATCCTTTTATTTCTTATAAATAACGAATTTTGACATCGGTATGCAATTGCAGATACGATATGACACGAAGAGCAGCAGAACGCGTCTTTAGTAATACAAGATACAAGCCGTCTGATGTAGACGTAGTCGAGTTGCATGATTGTTTTTCTGCAAATGAGTTAATAACATACGAAGCTCTGGGTCTTTGTGCACCAGGTAAAGCAGGTGAACTTATCGACTCAGGAAACAATACCTACGGTGGAAAGTATGTCATTAACCCCAGCGGAGGTCTAATTTCCAAAGGGCATCCGTTGGGTGCCACAGGATTAGCCCAATGTTCTGAATTATGCTGGCAACTTCGAGGTGAAGCCGGAAAGCGTCAAGTTCCTGGAGCCAAGTTAGCTCTGCAACACAACATAGGTCTTGGCGGTGCTGTTGTAGTTGCTCTATATCGTTTAGGTTTCCCAAGAAATACTGTGCGTGCAAATAACGTAAATGCGCAGGTCAATCCAGATAGTTTCAAGGCTAACATTCTTTTCAAAGCCCTGGAGATAGCCATGCAGGAAGATGAGGACGGTTTGATCGAAAGAGTCCGTGGTATCTACGGATTCAAAGTTACTAACGGTCCAGGTGGTGCTGAAGGTTACTGGGTAGTGAATGCCAAAACCGGAAAAGGTAGCGTCGAGTACAATGGAAAACTAAAACCCGATGTGACATTCACCATCAGCGACACTGACATCGTGGACTTTATATCCGGAAAATTAAACCCACAAAAGGCATTCTTTCAAGGAAAGGTCAAGATACAAGGAAATATGGGTTTGGCAATGAAACTGCCAGATCTGCAAAAGCGTGCGGCTAAAAAAATTGAACTGATCCGTTCCAAATTGTAATTGACATTTTTCTACAGATAACGTGGATGATTGTTGGACGTTAATCTAGAATTGGCGTTAAAATGGTGCACGTGCGATATTGTTAAAACGTAACGTTCTCTGCACTAGAAATCTAAGCGGTAAACAATAATTAGAGCTCAAAGAATTCTGATTGCGCGCACAATTCTAGTGATTTCCTTTTTTTAAAAGCGTCGAGACCCCAAAAACGAATAGTTTACTTTCGAAAATTTGGAAACGGTAAATTTTCTTTTGAATCAGTTTTATTCCCTCCTTTACGTGCAATAAATCTCTTGATATTACCATACATACGTCGCGATTATAACTATTATTGTTTATCATTATAAACATTTAACAGTTGCAATTTTTAATACAAAATAGCATAGAGACGTGGATTTCAAGCTGACAACGAAAGGCATGGATATTATGTCCTTGTTAAGGCTCTTGTTATATTGTGTTACTCAATTTCATATAGCAGGGTAGCAAAGGTCTGGTAAAGGTTTTATATATTTTACTTATAGCACGGACTACTACTTTATGAGGAGTTACATGAAAACATACATAGCTATACGTATTCATATTATATATGTTTTTTATACAATTTTAAAAGTTTTAATGGCTGAAGTTTTTCTTGTTATACATGCTGCGCGTCTTGAAGGATACGTATTACATGCAATTACATGTAACAGCGTTGATACCTTGTTCGCCAGAAATTTTTAATAAATAGTTGGGCAAATGCTTAAGGATGATACAGTGCTGGTATGCGGTACCCATACAATGTATACGTATATTCCCAAAAACATTGAAGCGACACCATTAGCGTGATTCAGTTGAAAGAACTGATGCACGCGAATGAATTCCAAATGAAAACTCCAGAAATCATTTCGACTCTAAATGCTTGGCAAGAGTTTAAAGTTTAAGCCACCTGGCAGTTAAAGAGGATAGCATCATCGTAGTATCAACTGTGAGAAAAAAAGATGGCGACTATCTTCGAAAATAAAGTACAACGAAAGAGAGGTCGAAGTGGTTTCGGGCAAGCTGCCAACATTGAAGGGTATAATCACCCTCCTTCCCCGCTGACGTTGCCAGTAGAATTTTCTATAAGCCGATGAAAATGTATTTTTATCAACGAAGTGACGAAATCTGCAACGCGACGAATCTCCTCCGTAAGTAAAAAAAGTTCTCGGTGCTGATTCGACGTTACTCATGAAAACCGCTGGTCGCTGAAAGAGGCTTTCAGAAAGAATGAAGGAGAAAGGGAAACCTGAACGTTGATATATGCATGTAAGTTCCCCGCGGATAGAAATACTTGAAATAAAAAAAGATACGGCAATGGTTCTCCTGTAACTCGTTGGTAAAACTCGCGGTTCGCCGCTTCGTTGAAAAGTCTAGTTAAGCCGCAATGTTCGCCGTGGTCCAGATTGACACCTCCGTTAGAATCAGAATAAGTTGCAGAACGACTGTCTGACGTCTTCCATTGGCAACCTTTATCAATTGCGCCCCGTTAACCAGCATGTCACGATGGAATAAGAAATACGTGTGAAGAAATTTTGAGGTAGGCTAAAAAATGTTTTTTCATAACAATTTCAAGTCTACATCGTTGACGCGGGACTGAATTTATATCTCACGTATCGTCACGTATGGATTAATGCAGGTGATCCCATTCGAATTGGAGGTTATTTCGAGCGGTATCGAAATTTCATACCGACAGACGCATCAAATGATGACTGTGTATTCAATAATACTGAATAGTCATAGGTTATCGCGTTACATTAGCAGCGCGAACCTTTCTTCGATTACAATAGACAATGCCGATTATATTTAATAGCTCTTGAGTTATCGGCAAATTCTCATAGAGAATTATTATCCGTCTCTACGTACTTCTTTCCTTATTTAATATTCAACTCGGAATTCCCACGCTTTACTTAACCATGCGTGCCGTTTTCCGGGGTGAGAATTGATGGACGGATTTTTATGTAGCTGCGTGAGAATTCCTGTTAGGTTTTCTGAAGCGATAAAAGCTACGAAATAAATGGAGAAAGACATTCACGTGGGGAGACAGGTTGGATTCAAGATCACGGAGGTTGACTAGTAGTAACCACTACCGGCCCTTTGTTGCCTTGTGTTCTTATTTGTTTGCGGGAGATGAAACAAAATGGAAGAAAATGGCGCTGACAGAAGAGACGAGGGACGGTTCAAGAGTTCCCGATTAAACGACGCCACAGTGTCTCCTGCAGGAACCGCAGTGCGAACTTTTGGGACTCCATCGGAAATAATAATAAGTACTTGTACCTAACTACGAGTTGCCTTGCGTGTTTGCCCTTGTCGATCATTAGTACTGCATTAGGGCTGTTTTTCAACATGAAGTCGTTCGTTTACAAAGGGGAGTAACGCTCCTCGTACTCCTCAAAATGTGTAATACTCGATCGATCGCTCTGCTCCCGTTCCTCGTCGAGGAGGAGCAACCGAAACTCTTGGCTTTGCAATGGGGTAAATAGTAAAATTGCAAGGGTGATAGTAAGGAATCAGAAACCCTTGAACGAACGAATGCAATTACGAGGGGTTACTGCTATTGGCGTTAGAAATGTAAGGTTTATACCACAGTGAACGTACTGCCCATGAAAAAAAAATTGGAGCTCTCCTAGACGTTTCTGTTTTCATAATTCTGGCGCCTAGAGAGCTAAGAATTTCAGTCGTAAACAGCCCGAACTCGGTCTACGAAATCTTTGATTCACTCCGCATCCCAACGACACATCATCGTCCTTTCACGTCCTTACTTTTGGTAGTCATATTCTTATTTGTCTTATCCTTTAAGAGTGCACGGACCTCCGGACGCCATTCATGCCGGACTGACAGTTCAGGATCGGTAGGTAGGTAGGTGTCACACAAGTAAAAAGGAAATAAGGAAAACACATGGAAAACAAAAAATAAAAAGGAATTGGATCCGATGAATGAGAATCGCTAAGTCGCGAAAAGCGAGTCCTGTGCAGTGCAGACCGGAGCACCAGTTCCATACTGCGTCCTCGTGTGGACGTATTCCTATCTTCTTCCAAGCGCCCCACTCTCGTTTACCTATGTCGGCCTGACATCTCTCCTAGCCTCACTTCACTTCGCCATCACTCCTTTATACTCCTCGACCGCCCACACAGCGCTGCCTCAAGTTTGGACTTGCTATCCGCACGGCAGTCTCTCCGAGCACGTCGTCCCGGATGGTTATGCGTCATTCGTGCGTACGCTCAGTCGACAGGAAGGTACACGGTCGTGCAAAAATCACCGAGGAATCAACGGCCTGTCCCGTCCGCGTGCTACGAACAAAAGGATAGTAAAAGTGTCGACTGTGCTGTCTTCAAGAGGATCAGGAGTGAAGCCACTGGATTTTCTTGTGCCAGAGACACGTGGACTCGTCCGCGGGAAATATCCTGGCTATTCCAACAAGACCTTCTCGTTCCGGTTAGTCAAAATTCATCTTTTATAATCTTACAGTACACGTAAGTTTCCGCAGAAGACAATAATTATCCGTTATCATACGGGAGTACGGCATCGGTACGTGGAATGAATAGAAGTTCTTGGAAAATGATCAAATATTTTCTCTTTGCATGCAGAGATACGTTGATATTTGTTTGTTTAGTTGGCAAACGACTCATCCTATAGATAGAAACAATTTCAAGGAGATTCAAAGTTTTCTGGGGATTCGTGTTATTTCCATACAATTACAGTTACGCATTACTTTCCCGCCAGTCTTCTGGATAGACTCGATCCAGCCCTACGTATACGTTACTGCTCAGTTTCTATTCCTCTGAGAATTGCCCTAAGCTTCTGTCGTGCCCGCATCTCCTGCCACGAATATAAAATAAAATCCTTTAAATTCATAAGCCTCAATCGTTTCTAGTATCAGTATCGAATTCTTCAGAGAGAAAAAGCGGCATTCTTATTTTCGAGGCACAAGACGTCCACGCAGTTCAGCCGCCATCCGCATGTCTCCTCGTGTATGTACACGCGTGTAGTCGTGATCGCCATCTGCCGCTGCTTCCCTTTTTTGTCGTGTCCGGGCGTTCTGAACTTAGGTTAAACTCTGAAACGGGCACTGCGTCTTTTACCTTCTCGTACTCCAACCGTCTCTTTCCGACTATTGACAACGTTCAGACACTTGTATATCTATATTATCCCTTAGTCATTGTTTATCGACTAGTGACATTAGATACGAATGATTCAATATTCGGCGGTACTTTGACCATTGTCTGAACTCAAGACTCATTCTAAATTATAATTTTTTTTTCTTCTTATTCCTAATGAACATTAATTATTATACTCCTGAAGATACTTCGCACTTCCTCTTCTCACGGCCACTTCCTGCTGACTGTGGCTCATCATTGACTTTACCAATGGAAACTTTATTTTATAAAACCATCTTCTCCCCTCCTCCCCATCTCTCTCTCTCTCTCTCATCCTTCATAGAACGTGAGTCACTTCGTCTGTGCAGCTAATTTTAAAACGTAACCGTACGTGTTTCTAGCTTATCTGTCAGGTACAATGACTCCCACGTACCTGACCACTCGCTCCTGGTTAACGAATTGCATCGATCCCCGCCTCGTATGAACACTTTGTCAAACGTTAGCCAGCTCTTATCTAGTGGATAATATATGTATGTACGTCACGTCAGGAAATTACGTCACGTGGTTACCAAGCTCGAGGCGAGAATTTATGTGAAAATTTGCCATGGAAATCGAAAACGTTATTCGGTTCAATGAAGGACGGGGAATCGAGCGTGACGACATTTGATCCAAATGACGACATCGCTTCTCCATTACCATTTACGTTTTGCTTGATTTTCTTTTTTTTTATATATATATGGAAGTGTCTCGATTGCTTTTACCTGACAACCCGAGTAACGACACCCTAGAGATCGTTCATACGACTCGATGATTGCTCCTTTTTTTTCGTTTATTTAGATAAGGCTGGAACGGGCTTTGGGAAAGCGACGAAACTTTTCTGAACGAGGTTAACGTCTCGACGCTTATTTTATATTCAAATCCGAATAGTCACTATGACGCAATACGTCTCTGCAAGGCGATCGACGTCCCATGAGCCATTGCAAGTATCTGTCTGCACGCCATTAAGTTTCAGCCTCGCGCGAGTTTCAGATCGTTAACGATTATCTTCCGTAGATCAAGTTGCTATCGTACTTGCAATATGAGCAGACGAAACGAAGATGACTATACTTGTTGTTTTTATACATTTAACCTGTAACAGACTATAAAAGCCTACTCACGCAATTCTTTAACCGCGTCCCGATTCCTCGACGAGTCTTAAAGCAAAAGGCTCCGTTAGGACCGGGTTTTGACTGTTCGACAACGTTCTCGAATATTTTTCTAAAGCAGAGCAAAAGCTCAGCAAGTGGAAAGTTGCCGGCGATGAGTGGCCCCATTGCTTAAGAATCCAGAAGTCCATGTACTCGCGACTAGCCGTATACTCGTTAGTCCGCTATTCAGCTACGTCTACTTCGTGCGCCAGCAGTAGTAAATTATGAAGTAGCCAAGTAAAATCGTGCGAAGTTTCCTGAGGTACTAGCTGGTTCTTTGAAATGACTGCCGTCTTTTTCGAGTATGGGCCGCTGGCTACCCTTTGATAAAAAAAAAAAAAAAAAACAAGTCAGCCTCGGCAGGAAGCTATAATGGCCCGTGAGGCCTTCGCGTTAACGAGTCGATCAACTCCTGAACGGAAAGTTTGGCCAGTGGATAGTTCCATGCTAATTCAGCTCTCCAAAGGATACGACATTCAATGACTACACTATCGAATTCAGTCTCTCTACTGCCCTCCTAAATATAATCCTTAGTATCGAAGTATTTAATAGCTCTGTCGTTTAGTTCCGCCATTCTTATGGATCTGCTTGTTAAACGTAATCCAGAACTCCGGTCGATTAAAAAAACAATGAGCCAGCGCCTCCGCTCCCGTAAACGGGACTTTCACTTTTAAAGCGACTTCGCCACCGAATAGTATCGGCTTCTCTCGATTAACTTTCGTGCTGCCTAATGCTTTTTTCTAACCTGTCAGTCGTTGCGTCAATCGCCCTTTCGGTGTCTCATGGAGTCCGCCTTTAGGTGGTCGTTTGCGACACTCCGCACGGTACCTACGTAAAAGTCATTCTCTTTTTGAGCCAACTCGATTCTCTTTTTTTCATTGTCTCTTCGGTACTGGCCATAATCGTTCGCCGATTTTCTAATCTCAGTTACAGACAGCGACCAGACGTAAAAGATAATACGGTTATCGGTAGATGGGATTTAGGTAGGCCAACGTGGAGTTCGCCCGTTGACCATTTTCTAGAGTAAAGGTCAAGACTGTCGCTAAGTAAACGGGTGAAAGGCATTGTTCACTTTGATTCTACAGTGCTGATCAAGGTAACGGCTGGCATTTTGAGCCACTTCAGAATCGACCAGCAATCATCAGTAATATTATACAGTCGGTATTTTCAGGGTAACGGGACTGACCTGGCTCTGCTCCTGCGGGACGCCTGACAATCCGGTAGCCCGGAAGTATCGAGCTCCGCAAGAGTCGATCTCCATTTTATCAAGATCTCCCGAACAATGGATAACGGGATTTCGTGGTGATAGGTTTTGACATTCGTGTTCCTGAATTAATGTCAGTAGGCGTCTATACTTTGTTGAACTTTGGTTACTTGGACTTCGGAGAGGGCACGCTTCTCCCTTGGACCTAGAAGCTGTCATTCGCTAAACTTGAGCCGGATCAACTGGTTCCTGCCGACTTTAGTAACTACGACTCGGTAATTTCCACTCGCTCTTGCTTCTCTTGCTCCGTCATCCTGGGTCCAGTTCTCGACGATGTTATCAGTAGGGATCGTTACAATACGTAACGGAACCCAAAGGCGGCTTCGGATCTGCGAGAATTTCCATCGGTAAACAAAGCTTTGGACAGATGAAATCTTATCAGTGAAAATACTTAAAAATTTTTCATTACTCATCCTCCAGTTCATACTTTCTATTCATTTGTCTCCCTAGACTCACGAGCTCCTCTTTCGTGACCTGGGTGACTCGGCCTGATCTACATTCGCGTTTGCGTAGGATCCTTTTGCCAAAGTGAATCATGTCCAGCTGACGTCGGGCTCCCGTTACGTCGTCTGGAGTCACGTTACAGAACGAGCCAGTGCGATATTCGTGGTAGGCCTAACGAAAGTAAAAAGATTCCTCGTTGAGGATTTGACGTGGGAGAGGCTCGTCTGCAGGAGATGTGGCAGCAAGCGGAACAGCAAGAAGCAAGCAAAAGGAAGCAGCACTCCAGTTGGCTCCAGAGTCGAGTGAAAGTGCAGCCATCTCTCGAGCTAACGTAAGAGAGTCTTGGACTCTTGAGACCCTGGCAATTCACTTCGGCATCGTTCCTCTGCCTCAACTTCTTGTGACTCGTTGTTTACTCCGTAGCGATTCGTGCGAGAGTGGCTGCGTAGGCGAGGAGGAGCTCCCTGGTATAACTTTCCGGATCCGGAAGTAAGACGTTAAAAACAAAAAGTGATACATGACAGAGGGTGGCACTGTTCCAACCAGACTATACCTACTTCTCTTTTTTTCTTAGCCAAGTGTTTATTCGAATGACAATCAGCGCAGCGACGCACGCGTAACATCCACTGTCTGCTTCCTATTGGCCATGCTTGAGGCTTCCTCAGACAAAGTCAAGTCGTCTGGAGAAACTGCTGGACTCGCGCCCGTCAGCCATTACTACCCCAGCAAGCTCCTTTCAGTAGCGTCCAAACTGTTCAAGCGCCCTCTGCTCTCTGTCCTATGGTTCTTTTGTACGGACTTTGACAATCACAGTCTCCCGTAGGGTTTGTCGACTTTCAATGCTTAGGGTTATAGTTATCGATTGGGACGCATTCGGCACGGTCTGACTTATCCCCAGAAACTTGAAAAACCAACATGGACGCCTGGAGCAGCTGAGGCGTTCTTGGGACATGAAAAAAAAAAATTCATCATCTATGGGATACTCTTAGAGCATACGTAGGATACCTGCGTATGATCATCTCCATGATGAGAACCACTGTCCGTAAACGTGACCTCACCTCCCACCGTCCTAGTCCTCTTGGACCTCCCTACCTACTTCCACCTACATCATCTAACCGATTCAAACACTTGGAGTTCAGTCCGCTGAGGACGACGTTTGCGAATGATGCTGAGAGACTTCTTTATGTGCTCACCTGCCGGATTGTTGCGCGTTGCGCGCCATGTCGGGTGCAACGCAGGGCCGTCGAGTGTCGCGCCAGTCACTTGCCATTAGTGCTGATTCTAATAACAATTAGAAAAAGGAAGACGTTGGCGTCCCGTTGTGAATCGAGTCTAGAGTTTTCAAGCCAAAGTTCACGAGCCCCGTAATACCAGCCGTGTCCTGTAAATACAGGTCAGTGAACTCTCTCTCTTCCTGTCTTTCTCTCTCTCTCTCTCTCTCTCTCTCTCTCTCTCTCTCTCTCTCACTCCTTTCCCCGTGTTTCTGAACTGTTTGGCAGTAACTCATCCCCCTACCACAACCTGGACCACCGAAGCCCCGAGTGGTTCTCTGTTCTCGTTAAACGGATCACCCGGTACACCGTAATAGTTTGCTCTCTCTGGTTTCGCGACTGCCAATGGAATTTTTTTTTACAAAACGCTTCAATCGAACCACGCTACTTTATATAATCTAGTTTACGTCTGCTTTGCACTCTCTTGGTGTCCATGGGCAGACGTAGACGTTTCCGTGAGATTTTTCAAATTTTTCTTTTGTTATCCCACGTGCTCGGTAAATTCACTAAAGCGAACAACGCGTGCATTCCTTATTTTCCACGTGTATTTGTAGCGTCTCGACGCCTCCCGACGCACCGACGCCTCCCGTAAATCAAGCGCCTTTCACAAGACAGCAATTGTTTTGACGAAGATCCCCCTTTCTCCTCCACTTCTTCTGCGTCTCCTTATAACTCAAACCGCAGAGCTGATTTTCAAGTAGCGTCGAGTTTGTTGCTTTACTTACGCCGAGCTGAGTCTCCGTTGCGAAAGAATGCTCACGTCGATACGTGGCGCAGCGAGTCTCGTTGTTTTGAAAGGCTCAGTAGCACCGAGCGGCAGTCACCTTGCTGCCGAGTAGAGGGCCGCGCGATACGTATCCAAGCCCGGCGGAACGTTTTGTCGCTTGAATTGCAAACCAGCCCCGAGAACCGTCGCTCGCTCGATAAGCCACCGCGAAACTTTTTTTTTTATCTTCGTTGGCACATCAACGTTCCCTTTTTTTGCTCCACTTTTTTTTTTCTTTCCCCTTTATCGCAGCACAGTAGAATTTCTCGACAGTTACTCGTGGCCTGGAAAAAAAATTCGACAAGCTTATCTCGCAACGCAATGGCAACAAAGTTTCCTTATGAAATAACTTTTCAAATTGATTTTCAAATACGCAGTCTCCGTGCGCCTAGTCACGAATCTGGGCAACGGCAATCTTCCTTGGGAGCATTCCTTGGTGTCCGCTCTATCCGGTTTTATCGTATGTGGGCATTCATTACTATTTAATTTGTTAAAGCCCACCCCTTTGGCTTCTACTCCGATCTCCTTAAGCGGCCTCGTAAAACGAAAGGAGAGACTTCCGGTCGTGTGAGTCTCTATCGAGAAATCTCATAGCAGCCACCCTTGGCCTTCGTGACTTTTCTTTATTCCGTCCTTCGTTCTTCTTTGTGACGAATGATAAAAGGCTCGGAGACTTTCAGCAGCGCGAAGGGATACCATGGCGCAAAACAGCACGTGTTGAGCGCGGTTTAACTTCCTCGGCAGTCTGTGCGTTTCCTGCCCGGCACGACGAGAATAGCCACCGAGGAGGGAGCCACTGTATTCTACGTGGCTTCGGGCTCGCGTCTACGTTCACGCCGTGCGAAGCACCTCGACCTTTTAATAGACGTGTAACCATTTCTTACCGCTACGGAATCACACGTCTTCGTCCTGACACGTGTATTTACGCGTAAGCATACAACGTATATACGTATAGGTATACAGGAGGGCAGAGACAGACAGGATAAGTCCTTACGTAAAGGAGAACCTGGACTCTTCGTCTCTCGACTAACCCAACCTAACATCCTCGTGCGCTTCTCTTTCTGAATCGACGAAAAAAAAAAATAATTCAAGGCTGACGACCAAGCTTTACCTTGCCTCCATATTTCATTTCATACAGGGATACAACGCCTAACCCTTCTCGTTCGTATATACGGACGAAATAGACGTTTCAATCGTAATCCTCTGCGGGTTTGACAAATCCAAGAGCATATCGATATATATATATACATATATATTATTTGTCGTCTGGTCCGAAGGTACTTTCACACCGAGACCTCTCGTCTGCTTTAGTGGCCATTACGAGTTTACTGCGTAGACGGCGCAGCCGGATGAGTCACTCGGTAGGGTTTGGGCCGATAAAACGATAATTCACGTTGGCTACGAAAGAAAAGAGGGGATTTACGGGGGTTGGCACGCATGGCCCAACGGCTGGGGGAAATACGGGCCAGCAAACTAAGTTGGTATCGAGCGACCGAGAGACTACACGTGCTTGCACTTTCTTCGACCGGCTCCTCAGCGACTAGAAGACGCAAGTCGCGCGATCGGTATCGTTATTCTTAACCCTGAAACGGTCTCTGACGTTTATTGACACACGTGGCGATAGCGTATAGAGCGACGAGAAAGAAAAAGATTTTTAAAAAACCCCCAAAGTTTCTTTCAGCGACGATTTACAATTTTTTTCTTTTTTCAAGTTACCGCGACTAGGTCGCTCAATGGGAACGTCACTGTCTTTCATATCCGGTCCCTGTTCACGTCTTGCCTTTGTTCTCTAATCCTGGGATAACTTCCTCTTTCCCTCTCACGTTCGCTATACTTGAATTTACGCTGTGTCTAACAAGCCGTTAGTTTTAATTCACCTATAACCCTCCTTCCTCTTTCTCTCTCTCTCTCTCTCTCTCTCTCTTCCTCCTAGCGGGATACGGACATGGTACGGATGACATACCACATCAGACTACTTACACCGGTTCGTCTCGTTCTGCTCTTTGGATTCGACAAATAAATTATGACACTTTATCGTGGCACTGGCTCACAAAGCGAACCATTCAGTCTCGTTCTCGAGGCTTCTCGCGAGAAGGAACGAGCAAGTAGAAATGAAGGCAGATGAAGCAAAAAGCTCGGCAGTTAACCAGGAGGCTTACTTACCAGCCGTCTCCTCTGGCCTGGATAAAGATGCGTGCCTCTCGATGGACTTGTTATTGTCCATATACGTAATACGCAGACGGACGTGAGTAACTGCGACATACAGTCTGCAAAGTCATAGTGCGTGCTTTGGATATTATGAAAATAATCATAACAATACTGGGAGGAAATCCGTTGGCAAAAACCACAAGAGTACCGGTTCGCTCGTACTGCCCAATATGTCAAAGGATAAGCTCGACTGTCAGGTCAGAGACATCCGGAATAGACAATGATTCACGTAGGGTTATCAATTGGAATTAATTTCGCGTGCAATTAGGGCAACAGGGGATACCGTATAATCGTACATAAGAGACTTATCAGGAAGGGGGGCAGATGACGTTTCAATAGTATCAGGGAAAATTAAAGCTCGTAACCTTGGCCCAGGAATTAAATCTCTCTGCCTCGACGCCCGACGGGACGTCTCGACGCCTTTTTCTAGTCTCGATGCTACGAGACGCCCCTCTCTGTGCTTCTGTCGCGCGACGGATCTGTCGACTCGGCTATGTAGTTATATAAGGGCAAGATTCGCGCACTCTATAGCCAGTTGTGAATTTTCGTTTCGTTTCGAGACTTACGAAGTGGCTATATGGCTCTCTCTCTCTCTCTCTCTCTCTCTCTCTCTCTCTCTCTCTCTCGCTCTCTCTCTCTGTCGCTTGCACCAGACGACGCCTTTCTCTTGCGCAGGACGCTTTTGTCGCCAGTCGAAAAATTCTCGTTTCCGATATGCAATATCACTGTGACGTCACGCCGTACAGCGAGAACCTCCGAGCCACGAGTACTGGGTGTCATAATAATAAACAATATAATAATGATAGGAACGGATTCGCGAGAAGTTTCGCTACAACGCGTTACGTCAGCAGCACAAGCAAAAAAGGCCGATGTGGCAACTTCCTGCGGCCTAACTCGAACCACTCTCAATGCTCTCAATACTCTGGACCGTGTATACGGTTGCGTCGTGACGTTAACTCGTGTTTTGACGAGTCCGATAAACCGCATAAACCGTACAGCGAATGCACAGTTGGAATTACATTCGAATCGAAACAACCCCATCTAGGCGGAGCATCGTGAACTGTCAACCTCGTATACCGTGTATAGGATATACCGCAGGTATAGACGTGTATCCCCTCGAAGTATCTTACGAGCCGAACTCTGAAGTCGGTCGCAACGTGTTTTCGTACCGAGTTGAGAAAAACGCGAAGGATCATGGGAGCAGCTCCATACTTGTATTCTTTAAAAGTGAAAATGCCTGCGAGCAGCTCTATCAGATGTAATTGTCAATGACACGAAATGGAAAGTAGCTTGACGCTTGGGAAACGAATTCAAGTCGTTGACTATTGTATATAGCCGTATTGGTTCTGTCGTTTTATACGTGTATATATATGTATATATGTACAGTACGTTGGTCCTATCTGGAGCAGAGTATATTCCGTATGTATGTATATATGGTCTACGTGCGACCTATATGACTCTCACGGTATACATGGTACATTTTGCTGTTTCCATTACAGAGCTCTCGGGGAAGGACTCGTAGAGAGTCTTTATAGACGTCGAGGTCGACCTCAAGGACCGAGACGGTCAGCAAGACGTACTCGAGGAACGAGACTGGGAATATGGCTGGCACGGGGGAGGTCTGGGTACAGTGGTTCACGTGCTGTCTGACTCAACAGGGCCCAGGAGCTCGTAACAAAAGGCAGAGGCCCCAGCAGAGGCTCAGGATAGATAGGAGCATGATCGGGGCCCCAACGAACTTCCAGCACACCGGTCATATCGGCAGTGGCGATCTTGACATGGCCAGTGCCCACCTATCCGCCATTCAGACCCAAATGCAGGGAAAAGGCGGCTACGAGGCTGCTTTTGGCGTTAAGGTTGGTACCCGTGTGTATACGTGTATATTTATTTACCTTACATGAGCATGCGACTCTGTTGCATTCCTCGGATCAATTTATATTCCTCTGGCTTTCGTTACTCCTGATATTTCTTTAGCTTTTTCTTATGCGTCTGGTTTGAATTCTTTGAGGCAGTCGCCTTTAATCAGATTTCAACTGAGAAAATTAAAACGCGTCTGGACACCCTAGAGCCGGAAACGAGGAGGCGCTCGACTCTGCTTCAGACTCTATAATCCAGGTTGACCTAATTCTCGACTCCGTTGACTCTTTCCAGTTCCTACCCATCTCTATGTAGCGACCTACGGGAACGTTACGGCGTCCCGGCTTTCATGGAAATCGGCCCATCGCTTTGTTTTTCCAACAGTATATACAGCGTTGGCTTCGTTGTTCCCGAATAGCAAAACTCGCACTTCGAACTTCAATACAATTCCATTGTCGTCACGGACAGCCGATTGAAAATCGATCGCGTCATCCGTGCACAGTTTTCGTACAGCTACGCTTATTAACATACGAACATGTACACGGGATACGTACGCCAGACGTTCAGTGAAAAAAGTAAAACTGAACTGGAACGCAGGTAGGGGAATTCCTGTGCGAGCGGGTCTTCACGAGAATGCGTTACGCACCTTTACGCATATTTACGCACAGGTTGTTCGGCGGTGCGCGAAGTCCATAACACGACGAAGTCACTGCGACATGGATGAAACAAGAAAGGACGGTATGAAAATTAGTCAAGGGGATTAATACGTCCAGTGGCGCGTACGAGAAGGGAGTACACTTGCGCCGGGAGACTCTTTTGTTAGGTTATGTATCCTCCGTGGGGGGAAACGCATGAGCAGTGTATATGGCGAGCGAGTTAACCCTGAGATCCGATCAAATTTCGATAATCGCTACATGCCCCGGTTCGCCCGATCGACGGCTGCGATCTGTCTCCGTCGTGCTTTGCGCTCCCGTGAAATTAATATTGCACAGCCATTGCGTTTTACGATTCAATTAGCGGGGAGACGCCATCTATTTTTGGCGTTGACGCATGCGTCGCCGCACGGCTTACTCATGCTTTTTGGAACACTTGATTTTACCATTTTTTTTCCTCTTTCCCCCTACGTCCCCTCCTGTCCCAACCTGCACTTTTCTCCTTAGGCTTATGACGCCACTACGTCGTCTCTCCTTTTCCATCCATAACGACATAACCTCGAGTATCGATACTTTCGACTATCGATTCCTAACGTCGACCTCGAGATCGGACTGTGTCTGAGTCCAGTATCTCTATACGGTTCCGGGAATGTTTTTACAGTCGTGCACTGTTGTGTGCCCGTGCAAGGTCATCCACGGGTGGAACGACTCCGGGCGCAATAATTCCGTAAACACGAGCAACCCGAGCTTCCATAAGAACGTGAACTTGTCCCTCGCAGGCTAAACGATAAATTGACCGTGTCTTGAGAAACTAAAGTGGAACGGATTCCAAATGGCGATGGTAATTTGTGTCCCGTCGCTTCGATTGACCTCTGAACCGCCGTCTTTGCTCCTCCCCTCCGTCTGTCCGTCACTGATTCACGTTTGAACAAAACATCGCGATGTCGCTTGACAACGAGTCTCCTCGTTACCCCTTGATCCCGCAGCCGCTCGGAAACAGCTTTTCCAGCGCTCTATGGGAACGCGCGCTAAAACCTTCTTCCAATACTGCGACGAGCAGTCGCTTGACGGTGAGCAATTGTTTGTCACGAAATTTCTTAGCTCGATTGACAAATTCTGTTTTCTTACGCTTTCTGCGAGTGCGACGAACTTATGAGGACTGGCGAGCAACCTCAACAGTAAGGCTTAGGAGATTTTTCGAAATAATCAAATCTTTTACCCGACACGTGTCAGATCCGACTGGTCTGTTTGAACTGAGTCACCGTGTATACTTTACCAAAGCTGTAAAAGCTTCCTCTCTCTATCTTTCTCTGTCTCTCTCTTTGCAGCCAAAGGCAAACGTCCCCTGTACGCTCGGGCTTTTTCGTTACCGCTAAGTGGAGGGTGCGAACGCAGGGAATGCTGGGAAATACTGTGTAATATACGTGGAATGCAAATGTAAATCCTGGACGAAGCTCGTTCGACGGACATTTGGCCGAGTGTAAAACAAAGCAGTTCATAAAACAAAGCGGCCGTGACTCGACACCGGTTTTTCGAGAGCACCGGGTCCCAGAACTGAACTCAGCTCTTTTACCACTCATTCTCCTTTGGACGCACGTATATCAACAGCATCGTCGCCACTACCCATCTACCACCAATACTACCCACCACGATACTCGTTCCCCCCCCCCGGGTTCCTTGTCCATTGGTGCTTCTCACTCCAGGACGAACACTTGCATTCGCACCAGAGCGCCCAGAGACCTTCTCTCTTGTCTTGTGCCCGGTGAGCATCCTCTTTCTTTCTCTTCTCTTCTTTCTCTTTCTTCTTCCTCTTCCAGTACTCGCGTACGTACGCTATCAGTCTACTACCATTCCGGTGCAGTACTCAAACCCCATCCAGTGCTGCCGGCGCTGATCTTGCACGCGTGCACCGACTCCTTGCCGGTGGACTAAGTGCAAGATCATCAGCAGGGACTGTCGGACACGCTCTGGTAATTCCTCAAGCAGTCACACTCTGTGCCTTCCTGCACTTAATTCTCGGCTGGATAGTCGAAGAGTTATGTTGCCGGGAATTAATTCCTGAATCCTCGCTGACCCGAATAACGCGGTCGAGGAGGTCAGCGGCGACGCGTCGGTACGTAAGCAAGGGTAGAGGACCTGATGGAGGCACGTGGCTCGTTTCCGGGAAACTGGACGCGTACGCGCGTGACTCTGTAAATGCGGCTAAAGTCACGCAACAGTGAGAGTCTTGTTGGACGTTAAGGAATCGACACGGTGATCTCGACTTTTCCTTTCCTTGGGGTCGAAGTTCAAAAAAGTTGCGTCATCCGGCTTTGGAGATCGTGGTTCGATCATAGACTGATTTCAATGTTGGCCTGGACGTTATTACGTGAAAATGGATGATCGTCAGGAATTATGATCGGACGTACAAAATTTTAATGACAGTCTGACGATAGTGTGTATCGGGCTTAAGGTAAAGTTGGCGACCGGTTTCTCTCTCTCTCTCTCTCTCTCTCTTGTTCCTTTGGCAAGTCTCCCTGCTAACTTGTAACACGAGAGGTTTCATCATTTTTCAAACGTCTGACACGTCGTTCCGCTCGTTAGTTGCACATTGATGAGTTATCTGCTTGATCAGTCGAACCCTGGTTGTCCTCGTGGCGTTGCCCGTTGGAAGGCGAGATTCGATTCTTGTTTTAATTCTTCTCTTTTTTTTTTTTCATGTGGAATAAACTGATAATGACGCTGCACGTTCTTTGTGTGTTTTAGGCTTGCTGAGAAACGGTTAGCCCGGTTGCCCCAAGGGTGCTCGAGACCGACTTGTGACAAGGTCCGTGCCACCGTAGGATCATCTATGGGATAATCACGGACAAATCGGTCGAAGATCACGTCTCTACGTGGGGAAGACGGGCGACCGGGATTCACACCTACTCGTCCTCTGTACGCTCTTCTGTACCCTCTGTACATAGAACTACCTCTTACGACGATCCCGAGAGGATTGGGTAAGCTTGGTGCCAACTTCGGGTCCATCGAGAAGGGAAGCTTTCTTGGTGGACGTCGCAGGAGGATGACCTAGTCCATCGACCGTTTTAATTCAGTATCAAGAAACGTGTCCTCCGCCTCGTTGATCTTACGGCTCACTCAGGAACGAGGTGGAGAAAGCCAATCCTGAGCATTGGAATCGAGACGAATTCTTCCACTAGGTATCTGTACTCCATAACTGTGACGCTTCATCCCTCTACAGGGACCATACAACGTGCCTGTCTTGAGTCCTGCTTCCTCGTGAAGCGTAGAGACGAACAAGAGGAGAGGAATCCTCTTCTTGTAGTAGATGCTTCAGATTTCATGCGGATCTCGATACTCCTTCACGATTCCTTCTTCTGACCTGACGCCTCCAATGTGATAAGTGATAAGACATCCTTTCCTCAATTGACCCACGTGCGAGCTGGAATATATATAAATGCGCCGAAGGGTGTTTCTCGAGGAAGTCAACGCACCCTTAACCTTTCACGGAGACGACGTCCCGCCACCGATCGGACTCGAAACTCGCCTTCTGAACACTGTGTATTTATTTATTAAAGTGGGCGGCTTCGCCCAGGTTACGGTGCAACCTCCGAGAGAACTCTTTTATTTATTAAGTTGCTATTCACTTACCTTGTATAGTTAGTAGTCGGCAATAGGAGATAGTAAGCGTTAACGGTTCTTATTACCTACTGAGAACAATCTAACGAACAACCGATCGGATTACGAAGGAGACCAATGTTTGCTTCTCTTTATTGTGTAACGTGACGTCATCAGTTTGTCACGTGACACGTACGTTACTCTCGCGACGAATAAGGTCGATGCGATCAGTCTAGATTCCAAATTTCAAAAATTTCATAATTAATCGATTGTAAGTTAACGGATATGAGCTAACGGTCTTCCCATGTTACGCTTTTACGTAACGACAGTCTGCATAATTATTTACAATGCCAAAATTTTTCCACTGAATCACGTGACTCCTTTTTTTTTTACAATAATCAAACACGATACCGTGTATCGTTTTTTTTTCTATTTTCATTTTTCTAATACTGCCGGATGGCACTAGGGTTCTCGAGTAGAATTTTCGTATTAGCCAGCGTTGACTATGACTCTCTAGATGAAGATAAGGAGGATGAATGTTTTATGACAGTTGAATTTTGTCGGACTCCTGCTTGTCTGCTTTTTCTTTTCTTTATTCGTTCGCGTACTGACGAACTTTTTTGAAAAAAAATGGCCAGTGCCATGCTCCTTTTTTTTACATATCGTTCGGCTGCTCGAATGTTTTTTTGGTGCGAGTTGATTCGTGAACACATTGGATTCTAGAGTGCAATACATGTCTGAGGGTTAAGCCGACAGAAAGAAAATTCTCTGCGATAGATGATTGAAAGTAATGAGAGAGAGAGAGAGATATATATATATAATGGCGAATGTGTGTGAGTGCGTATATGCGGGAATGACTAAATAAAATATTTAAAAAAAAAAGTGAAAGAATGTGCCGAATCAAGAATTTTAGAAATTTGAAATTTGATTGCGAGTAAGTGGCGATAGAAGATAGACTGTATACATATTTTTTAACTATACCTATAGTATATTTAAATGATTGTTTTTTTGTGATTACAATTATTGAATACTACGCGTAATTCTATTGTATTAATGATAACGATTAAGAGGATAACGACTGTAACTCGTATTATGAAATAAACAGATACCCTATTGATCTGTCCTCACAGGACACAGAAAAATGATGCGTTGTAAAAACGGACTTTTCATGATACCACTCCACACTGAAAACAATTGGTAATCATGATTCACTAAACTTTTCACAGTCATTTGCTTTATTGGGTAACGAATTTACATTCAGGATGCCAATGCTTACTGAATCTTTTTCATTCTTTTACATTTGGCATAATCGCATTCCCATCTATGTTAGAAGAAATAATTCTATTAAAAAACAATGCCTAGTGTACTTAATCGCTAGCTGGATCTGCAGCTTCATCAACTTCCCCAGTACTTTCTGACACGCTTTCGGATGCCGAATTGGAATCCTCGTCGGAATCCTTTAGCACCTTCCCCTTGACGTTCTTGTGTCTAGTGGCTTCGAAGTCTGAGCCTTCCTCGTCCGAAGAATAAATATTCGAAGCTGCTGAAAAAATTAATACTCAACATAAATAGTTAACCTGACGTCCCTTACGAAGTGGCATTTTAAAAAAAAACTACCTTTTGTCGTGGCAGCCGCACCCTTTTTGTACTTGTTCTTAATTGCTGCAAGGGAAATGGCACCCTCGTCGTCAGAGCCGTCATCGTGATATGCATCAGCTCCGTATCCGCCGGAGGCTCGTCCAGAACCTCTACCCCCACCACTGGCTTTTTTACTTTTACTTTGAACACGCATGGCCATACGCAGCTTCTCTTCTTCTTTCTGTAAAATTCATTCAATCTCTTAGTACTTAGGAACAGGTGACAAAATATCTTTGACGTATACAGTTGTCATGTAATATATACCTTGATCATTTCATATCTGTTTTGATCTGGATTCATGCCCACTTGTGAAAGCACCTTGATGCCTGAAGCTTTTTGTGACCTGTCTGCAAGGGACATCGTCATCTTTCTATGAGTGAAGGACTCGGTCGAATGTGGCCTAAAGGTTAACTTTGTACGGAATACTGCTTGACCCTGAAGACCGGTTCCTTGACGAATGTAAAGGTGATTGTGGTCACCCTGTAGAGGCTGTTTGTATACGTCAAAGATTTCTGATCCCAAATGTAAGGACATACTGCCGTCTGACCATCTAACGAATCGGGCGTTACTTTCTTTCACGACCCTTCCGCTGTCGTCGAAGACTTCCTTCCACCTGATTGTGTTTTCGACTTTTAACTTTAACCTCGCTCGACCTTCTTCGTCTAAAGTTTCTTCCTCGTCGATCTCATCCTCATAGGTCTCGTGGTCGAACGGTCTGGTTTCGACTGATAAGAAATTTGGTAACTTAACAAAATGAATTTCACGACCGAGGTCGGTTGTGATTTTTGGGATTTCAACGTCGATTCTTGTCTCTGGTGGAGGTTCTGGTTCTTCCTCCTTTTCCTTTTCGTCGTCCTACGTTAGAAATAGTGCTTAGGTTAGGTTAGGTGTAGATTTACAGGATATTTATAATACTCACATCATCAATGACTGCTACGTGGCTGGGTCCTTCTCCACCACTATCGGATCTTCCTCGACTCCTACTTCGGCTTCTGCTACGACTTCTGCTGCGGCTTCTACTACGGCTTCTACTTCTACTTCTACTTCTACTTTTGCTTCTGCTTTTCTGGCCTACCTCTTCGTCCGGTTTTTCCTTCTCTTCATCCGTACTGATGTCGCTGGCGTCGCCGAACAAAGCGTCTGCAGTGGGTTCTGCACCTTCGTTCTTATCCTTGACGACGTTCTCGTCATCTGAGTCAGAATCTATTAAAGCTCTTTTCTTTTTTGTTATTTTCTCAGATTCCGAACCGGAACCGCTGTCATCATGTTTACGTTTCGATACTTCCGTATCGCTGTCCTCTGATTTTTTTAACTTTTCGTCGGCCGCAATTTTAAGCGATTTCTCCGACTCGTTGTCACTCTTAGCCTCCTTAGGACTTTGTGATTTTTTCGATCGAGGACTTCCATCTGTTTTTGGACTCGCTGGAGTCCTGGATCGAGATACACGGCTTCTTCTTGATTCACTTCCAGATCTTCTACTTACTGGGGAGCCACTGTGAGACCTATTACTTTTAGGAGATCTAGGAGATGTTGGAGACCTAGGAGAAGCTGAGTGTCTACTTGTACGCGATGTCTGGCTACCCGAGCGTCTGCTCTTTGGAGAGCCTGACTTGTAACTACGTGGAGAAGCAGGACTGCCAGATCTGTGACTTTTCGGAGAGCCATAACCAGATGCATTGGATGCAGGGGACCCAGGAGTTTTCGACTTCCGACCAGGAGACAGTGACTTAGACCTAGCTGATTTAAGACTAGCTGGAGATTTTGGACTTTCCGATCTCACACTTTCTTGAGGAGAACCAGATCTCGATCGGACAGATTTTTGAGATCCTGCACTTGGAGAACGAGCCGTCTGTGGAGAGCCACTTCTTGACCTCTGTGAATCAGATTTGTTACTCCTTGGAGAGTCAGGACTCGAATGCCTTGATTCTGATCTAGCAGGAGATCTGCTAGGAGACCGCTGCGATCTGGGACTAGCATTTGACTTGTTCGCACTAGGAGATCTACTTCCAGACCTCGAACGACTTGCATTAGAAGTTGGAGAACGTGGACCATCATTATCCTCATTGGACCTATCACTTCTAGATTCTCTTGGTGTAGGAACAGGTGCATGAGATGCAGGACTAACACTGCGACTTGACGCGGATGATCCAGATCCACTTTCAGATTCTGAACCTGCACATAAAATTAACAAAAATCAATAAACCTCCGTACATACTTAGCAACACTAAGCATAATTTTTAAATACATACCAGAATCCCCGCTGGACTCCCTCACTATATCACGCATCGGTGACATGCTTGACACAACTTAAAGAAACTAGCTATAAAGTGAGGTTATAAACACGCTTTCACCGAACGCATAACTTTGAGCCACTTTGAAGATAACGGAATAACCGAGTATCGATACATGACCCACGCGCAAGTGTTCCCATACGTCCCAAGATGGCAGCTTAGGTTAGCTGTATAGTGTTTCATTATTCGCCCGTAAGGTGGCAGTCCGGTTCAACTCAAAAGTTGCCGCCAGTAGTTGTGTCGTCAGGGTGAGTAGGTAGTGTTGTTGCGAGTCAAGGAGGACGAGGACGAGGAAGAGGAAAAGGAAGAGTAGGAGAAGCACTGGGAGAAGGAGAAACCTAGTGAGCCCGCTGGAGGGAGATGAGAAGGGGCAAGTGCAGTTTTCGAAGCAGTGACACCTGTTGCTCGAAACGCCGCGAGCAGCCACGAGCATGGCCGGATCGGCGGAGGTGAGGACGCTTCTATCTCGGCACAAAGTCTCCCTCCTGCACGAACTTAACGCCACGGACCTCCTCGGTGTCCTGGTGAAACGTGGAGTCATCACCGAAGTTGACAGAGACGCGGTCGCGGGTAGTGCTGATCGTTCGAGTGATTCGGATATCGATCTCTTTATCGACGTAATCGGCGCCAAAGGATTCAACGCCTTCCGCGAGTTTTGCTTCGCCCTGGAGGCAGAATGTCCTCACGTGTTAACGGATCTACTTGTAGACCAGCACAGCATCGCCGGTGAGTCTTTAATACTTCATCTGTTTTTCTTATTGTTAGTATCGCTTGGTGCCCGAGGATCAAACCTCAGGTGCACGTTTCTTGATACCCCGGATGTTCTATCCTCCAGTGCGAACGGATGCAAACGATTACCCCCAGGATACATTGCCCTTAGGCTTCCCGAGTCCCTATAGCAATCGTCCCTTACAGTACGTACAAACTCGTTTACTTATTCTGGTTTTTTATCTCGTAAAACCTGTACCGACCAACTTCTATTCATTCTCCCTATAGAAGAAAAATAATATCTTGCCAATTATCTTCATGACATATGTAATACCGACATTTTGACAGTCATCATATACAGTAAAAACAATGCATGGACGAATGAACTGCTGGTTAACTCACCACGAAGTTAAGTAAGATAGTACAAAGTTTTCTGTAGTCCAGGATAGAAATCTAGCAAGCATCTTGGCAATTGGGAAGGTAAATAGCCGTAGGAAGGAAAAAAAGCAGTAAGAAAATCGTGAAGACGTCGAGTTTCCGCCACAAAATCATTCGGTCACGCAATGGCAGGTTTAGCAATTCTCACTATTTGAAAAAATTAATAAAAGACAGTCGCACCGGTGAACGGTACGCTACGTGAAGTTCTCCTTACATACAGAGGCGATCTACTTGATTACGATTGGTGCCCTTCTAACTTTTTAAAAGTCCCGCGACACGACACTATATAATTTACGGTCGAACGTCCTCGCATACGACCAGCCTTCTACGTTCTGGAAGCTGCGCTCCTGGGCTCCTTACTGACAGTAAAATGCGTCACGCTCCTGGGACTCGTGGAACAAGAGCCCCCTCATGTTAATACCAACCCGACTTCGTCTTCAAGAGTATCTGGTAAAAATCTCTTCGGCGATACATGAAACACATACGGGACTCCCTTGAGATCCAATTTGCCAAGGAGAATCCAAGCTCGACTGGTAACTTGTTTTTCTTTTCCTTTTTTTTTTACCATAATCCCTTTCTTCTTAAGATAAACTTTTATTCAAGTATATACAACTCTTCGTTCCTTCGACATCCCTTGGCTACTATTTTCTCTTCTACGTGACTCACAAGTCAATCCTCTGGCTGCCCTGACGTGACAGAATGGCGCCGCGCGCTCTGCGACAATACCAACCGAGCCAACCGTCTTGCGTCCTCTCCCTCTTCTGTAATGTCTACACTTCACATATATTGTTATATCTTATTATGTGGACGGAAAGCAAAGGACAAAGAAGAGACAGGGGGAACTTTTCCTCGAAGGTACAACATAGAATTGACAAGTGGTAAACAGAGAAACGTAAAGATACGTTAAAAAAAAAAACCCTTAAACTCAGACTTATACCGGGACAGTCAACCAGTCAGATTATACTAAAGCCGAGTTGAACCCTGTGATTCGTTGGCAAAGACCCAAGCATTGTGTACATTTAGTATCCGTAGAACGCCATTCTCCTTCGTCGTTCATTGTGCTCTGTGGGAAGTTCGTCGGTGGAATCTCACGACGCTCGACGTCCCTCGTTTCTTCTTAGGCTTCTTAATTACCGAACGAACGTCGGCGAGGCCCTATCTGCTGAGCTTGTCAGGTATTATACGATACTCCAGTGTGCATTGTATGTATATCTATATGGAATTTATGTTTTCCTATCTATAGCAACAAGCTATGCCCTGCGTAACTTCGTTTCCCACGAATGAACTCCGGACTAGCGTGTCTCCCGGTGCGTGCGTCAACAACACACCCCACCCTCTTGCCGTTGGAATTTCAACGAAGGACAATGTGATACAGGATTTATTGGAAAGACTCGAAGAGGGACCTAAGAGACGTAGATACTTTCTCCTGGTCGTCTTTGATCAAAATTGTACAATGGAATAGACACTAGATCGTGACACTCTTCGAAAACTAATATACCGGCGATACTTTTTTGTGGAATCGCCTTGACGGACGGATTCAGTCCGTTCTCTGCTGCGTAGACTAAACAATTCTTGTGGACTCGTAGAATTTGAACCTTATATAGGTTAGGTGTGTCTGCGTACCGCGCTATTGTAAGCATTTGCCAGGTATGATTCGTAAACGTCTCGAACCTGAAACGTTCCATGTATTTTTCTACCATTTGAATTTTTAACTTGGAGATATATGTAGCAAATTATTACTTACCCGAGTCTAGGGATTTCTAGGGTTATTTGAAAGCGTTCGGGATACTTGTGTATTTTATTTAATAATTGGTAGCTTGTTCATTTTTTTTTTATCGACTTAGACTTTCTAGCACGAGTGTCGTAAACTCTACTAGGAATAATTCGAACGACAGGCTATGGAGGTATTTGCGGGCAGCACCACGTAATTACAAGGATAATACCCGACACGCTCTCCTCTCTCCTTGACGCGTGACTCTCTTTTATTTTCTTCATAGAGGCAGAGTCGAGCTAACGAGAATTTCAGGGAAGAGTGCAGTCCCGATATTCCAATGGATTCCTCAGCAAGCACGAAGAACAGTCTACCTGGACATTAGAAAAGAATCTCATATATGAAGCATAGACATCGATCTCATTACCACTTCTTTGGACTTCTTCTTGACCTAACCTATAAGTATACACCGTATGAACTTCGGGTACTGTTCTATAATTTGTGGCGAAGCAAAGCAAGACCAAAGGAACTTGACTTCGTTACTGCGATACTTAATCCAAAAAGTGTTAAGAGGATTCCTTGGAGATATTCCGAGAGAAGAGACTGCCCAATGAAATTCTGGCAGATCCTACTGAGCATTCTGCTCAGTGTAGCCATCTTGGCTACTGTCGGCTGGAGCATCATCTATTTCACGGTCGCACGGATGTTGCAGCTGATGATACAATCGCCTACCGACATTGCCCGTATTAAGTAATCTCATTACTACGCTGTATGAAATTCCTGAGAATAAATTGTATCGAGAATCGTGAATGGAAGACGTCAGTGTTGATGGACGATGGCGTTAGGCTAGAAATCGATTGGCCGTCGTAGGTACCATAAGGAAAAGGCGGTTGAAGTTAATTTAAAAAAAAAAAAAACTTGATCTCTCCTACCAAGTAAAACTAAGGTCTACGAGCAAAGCGCGATAGCTGCCCGAGCGTGGCCAGGTTGGTTTTGTAGGACGCGCTCGAACGCAGACGATTCTCTTGGTGGTGCAGCATTCTTGCCAATGATTCTATCCGATTCAGACAGGAACGTCATTGTCTCTTTTAATCAGCACGCTTCGAGAGATCGAGTTGTCGGTTTGTATAGCGTGACTCTAAGAAAGCCGATTTGTCAATTCACTTAGAATTATCGTTCCAGCGTCGAGGCTCAATCTTTATTTCTTATTCAATAAGAAAGTAGTAGCTATAAGCCGATCGTACGTTGATCTTATTGGAATGAATATCTGATAGGCGATCCTGCGAGATCAGGATTATTTATTAAATTGGATATTGACACGACTGGGAATACTTGTTTTCTGGTTAATTTCGAGGTTCCTCCTTGTCGATTTATGTAACAACTATCTTCGATTCGGTTTTCCTCTTGCTCCAGTCCAGGGTTGTTATTCTGAACGAAGGAAACAGATACGCGGTTCGTCAAAGTGTCAAAGATCTTTATAGACTAAGGTTAGACTCACGACGTAGGTGTCGTGGAGGACGCCGTGTTTCTAGACGTTAGGTTGGTAGCTGGTGATGGGTACGTCTGACGACGAGGACGAAGGAAAGCTCTGCCCTCGTAGGCGCTGATCCCGAAGATCTTAGGGCAGCACATGAAGCTCATGACGAAGACCACAAGAAAGAGAAGGAAGAGAGCCCCGATCACGAGGAAATAGACTATTGTCACGTGCATAATTCGAGAGCCATACTTGTTACTCGACGCTCTAGGCTCCTGTTTCGAGGAACGACTCGAAAGGTTGTACGATTTTTTAATAACTCTGTACAAGTTTCAGCTTCTTTCCTTCGTCTTCCTTGACTCGTAAAAATTGAGCGACGCTCGGACGATTGCGATTGGCTCCGATCCGTTTCGCTCGGCCAATCCCTGCGAGGCTGACCGACGTGAACGCAGCCGCTTTTGAATGATCGATGGTGTACTCACGTATGGAAACGCATACAACGTGCTGCCGTACGTTGCACCGGCCGGATAAGAGTTTCATTGTGCGTTGGATTTTCATGAGAACGCGAATTAATGCCTTGCAAATTTACTAGCTAGTCAAACGCGCGTGTGTATATAATGTACATGCGAGGAAGTAGAAAAAGGTTTTCACGTAAGTTTATAAACTTTGCTTTCAAGTATCGTCAGATTTCTCGTCGATTTCACTCGAATAGAAATGAGCTCGACTGGTTTCACGTGGAAGAAAGAATCGCTGTTTACCGACGCGCTGTGCACGAGGCTACTCGGCGACGTCGTCCTCTTTACGAGGGACAAAACCTCGTCCTGCGTTCTTACCATCGGTTCATGAAAACTGATCCTAATCCTCTTTCGTCGTTCTCTTCATTCCTTTACATTTCCTCTGTCGCCTTCCTTTTTCCTTTCGTATCACTGACCATTTCTCGCTCTCACTCCAGGCAGTTGACTCGCGACTACGTTCAGACTGTCTCGAGTTTATTCACGCGTATGCAAAGCCCACGCTTGTCCGATTACCCTAAATTTTATACCTGCGTCGATCCCATTTTTGTTACGTTGTCATGACGACCAGACGTCCGGACGTCTCCCTTGACTATATTACCCACAAGACTATATTCAATTAATGACACTTTGAAGTTCCGTTAGCTTGAGACTTTTACAATTGTTTTCTTTTCTCGACTAAGAAAATCTTCAGTCGTCTCTGCTTTTTGGTTTCCGGTTTTGTCTCGACACTGAACACTGCTTTTGGGGCTCTGCACAGTGTTCTTGGAAAGATAAGGGCTACCCTTGTCGGACAGATATATTTTTTTAAATATGCTCGAACCCAGAAATACTTAGAAAAGTAAAAAAGAAACGTTTTCTCTCTGGCTGTACAGGAGGATATTTATCGCTGGTGAGTCTCCTTTAATTATTTCTTCTTAATTGGGCAGACTTCACTTCGTTGATACTCGAATGGCGTGTTTTTTTTTTGTTTTTTTTTTTTTTTCTTAATGGGAGTTATTGCTTTTACAGTATTTATCTACATTAGGCAGATTTCATTGAATAAGTATAAAAGAAGAAGTCCAAGTTTAATCAGTCTCTCACCTCACTGATTTCCCGTCTAACGATAATTAAAAGAAAGTACACGAATCGAGTATATCAAAATGTATAAAAATAAAAAATTGAGCAGATACGTTTTATCCACATCGACATATGGGATATATAAATGGCCAAGAATAGAAAACTCCGAATGGCCTGTTTGTGCTGCTGCAACGGTATGAAAGATGCGTTAAAGCAACGTATACGCACTATAAAAGATGGCTAACGTAGGAGCAGCTCGAGTCGATAGGACCGGTTTAATTTTAACCACGGCAGCTTTACTTACGACAGTGTTGGATTTACGCAACTGAAAAAAAAAAGGAAATTTCCACTTCTCCCATCAGAGACCATTTTTTCTCACGGATTTTCCTCCCATACAAAAACCTCAATTAAAAACTCCACGTGTAACCCCTAATCCTAGTGACAGCAGAGGGTATGATAATTTCAAGTTAAAAAAAAACTTCGAAATTACGTACATCCCGTCGCCGTGCAACAGGCATATTGACTTTATCATAAAATTGTTTTCCAACCATCCTATCTCTGCTTGACCATTGGTTCCATTTTACATTTAAATCATTAATCTTCCTATGCGCAATCACATATCTCTTAGCAGAGTCCTACAGCTAATTACGCGATCCAGTGATAAATACGGTCTTATCGTACAAGCCTGAAAGGCAGAAAAGGAAGGTAAAGTATTCAAGGTGGGTAAGGTTGATCGTAAAAATCAAATGTACCAAGGAGGTGGTAATGGTGAACAAGAACAAAAAAAGGAGTGGTCAATGGCAAGAAATTACTTTAGTCGTGTCCATAAATGCATGTGTTAAACGTCCTGGAGTGCATCGTACGAGGCACTAGGAGGCAGCTGCCGAAGAGTGAAGTTCGTGTTTCCCAAGCTGCACATGCCTGGACGGAGAAGTGGGCAACAGTGAGTAGCGCAGCTGCTGAGGCTGAATCAGTGCGAGAAGAAACATGGGAGAGCGAGAGAGATTCGAATCGGGGAGTTTGGTTGAGAGCTAGCGAAGGAGCAAGAGAGAGACAGAGAGAGCAAGATGGAGAAATCAGTAGATCCGAAGAGAGCCATATTCATTTACATTTAAATTCTCCTTAGCATTATTTTTACTCATGAAATTCTGACAAATCACGTTAATAACCTCAATCATCGTTGACAATCGGAGTATGTGTCTTTTGCTACTGACTTCAGATTACTGTAAACTATATATATGCAATTACGGCAGTTTCGTAACACTTGTCAATCATGAGTGCTTTTTTTTTTAAACGTATTTCGTCACGTCTCGAGATTTGTTTATCTCTCTTTTTTTTTTTAATTTCTTTTCATCTCGTCTTGTTACGCGAAATTTAATATGTCAAGCATATGCAAATTGGACGGAGATACCAGGGCGCGTCAACCCTGTCCGAGTCACGCAACTGTATGTACATGAACGTGACTACGTAGTGTATTCTATATATATATATATATATATATATATATGAGACTCGGTGGTTGGGAATGCTACAAGGCGTCTCGAAGTCACACATGCCGGTGTAGGAGTAATGTCCTTATCAGCGATTTAATTTGACGCCGACCCCCTTCGCGAGCGTTCCTACTCCCGACCGGATGTCGATTGGCTCGTTAGGGACTGCGAGGAGGTTAGGCTCGTTGTCATTCATATTCGTATTTGCATAATTGTGACAGTGACGGGTTTATTTTGCAGGGGAACAGCAACAGCAGCAACATCCACATAATCAGCTGGAGCAAGTACCTCGAGAGGACGCAGGGACGCGTGACATGGGCCAGCCGCCAGTCACCGAGGACGAACTGGAGGATCATTCGCAGAGGATCGACGTTAACGTCAACCAGGAATCCGACAGTGACATCAAGGAATGGTAAGACCGAGTTCAGGATCCATTAGCTCTCGCACCTTTGTCCCGTTGATCCTGAAGGTGTGCAAACTGAAACGACCACCTCCAGGACCAGGTGGATACATAAATTATTACTATGAGGTTGTAGCGTATGGGAGGGTAATGGCACCAGGAAGTGCGTACGCCTGATGTAGGGCCGCACCTTAAGTCTGGTTTACAACTGTTTCTCATGCTTGTGACTGGTCCAGCTGAGATGCTCTAAAATAAGACGGTTCAGATGATTAATGATTTATCAATGATTTAACATACTTTTACGTTGCCTAGATAAATGCTTAGGCAGGCAGTCAGGCTGGCTGGCTGGCTGGCTGGCTGGCTGGCTGGCTGGCTGGTTGGCTGGCTGGCTGGCTGGCTGGCTGGCTGGCTCTGGGGATAGCATTGGGCTGATCACTTGGTTTACGAAAAAGACGTGATATCGTCGTACTCGTCGGCCGACCACAGCACAGTTCTAAGATTTCTCAGGTGCAATCTGAGACGTCGGCGACGTCGTTCCCTCGGCTGAAATTCATTCTGGTACTTTTAGGAGTTTCCGGGAACTCGAGGTAAAGGCTCAAAGAGACCTTCCGGTCGAAGAGATCTAAATTTCATTTAAGTCTATTGCCCCGGGGTGAGTTCGAAAGTCTTTCCTTGGACTAAATCGAATTTCGAAGGTTCTTTGATAAACTTTTATTCTCGCTCTTAGGACTAAGTCACTCTTGTACCGGAAGGATACTGTGAAAGCCACAGGTAATTTGCAGACGGTCCAATAGCGTCCCTTTACTTTCCCTAATTTGTGTTCCTGATCAGGTAACTGTGGTCAATTATATTTTTTCTTTTCTTCTCTTCATCCTTTCGCTTTTTCTATGTATGTAGGGCAAAAGTTTTCTTTTCTGAAACGTAAAGGA